CTTGATGTCCCACCAGTCCGGATGCACCCCTGCTAGCTTTCGTCACCTACCCTCGGCCTCAAGTTTGTAGTTTGGATCGTTGTGTGATTGTGTGTGGCATGTCCAGATCAAGACACTTGAGTCACTTGAGTCCGGCCACAGGACTCCCAACCAAGAGCCACCCAGATGGGTCATGCTTTATGCCCCAGCCCCGTGATCTCTTTGGATGGTCCGCTGATTTATCTCCAAGAACTTCGGAAGAAGAATCTCTCAACCGTTACGGACCTGGATGGCTTCGAGGAGGTCTTTGGACTGTGTCCACAGGGCTTGGCAGCGGTCTTCGAAGCTTATCCGGATTGCCGCCGCAACTTCTTCTCGGAGGTCCTTCCATTTATCGTGGACGCTGCTAGTAGGCTTTCCACCAAAGAGTTGAAGAGACTGGAAGCAGGAAAGGTTGACCAGGTGTTCCTTCCCAGGGACCTGGTGGTGAGCTTGTTAGCGCACATGTTCCTTTGCACCTTTCGAGACTTGCCGTCCAACATGCCCTATGCCGGCTTCGACTTGTTGCTCTTCCGGGTGAACAAGCATTGCCCCCAGGAGCTGGCGAAGCTACGAATGTTCATTCACTACTTCGACCGATGTCGCTTGGAGATGCCCAAGGGCGAGCTGCGCATCTATCGACAAGTGAGGCCTGCGGCCAAGACGGGGAGTACATGGAGAGAGTCCAAATGGCCTTTGCTGGAGCTGAATGTTGCTCCTCCATTCACCGGCTTTGAGGATGAGGTGGCTCTGGGTGAAGAAATGAGTTGGAAGCATGAGGGCCTTCAGGAACCTGAAAGACATACTGCACCTACAGTAATTGGCCTCGAACGCAAGTAGCCACAGGACCCACAAGTTTCTTCACGACTTCTATGGACAGACCTTTTCTCTTATTTTCAAATTTTCCCATGGCAGGTTGGCCGTGGTTGTCTTCATGCGGACTTTGCCAACCAGTGCTTAGGCGGTGGAGTGCTTGTTGGGGGCTGTGTGCAAGAAGAGATCCGCTTCTCCATTTGTCCCGAGCTTTGTGCGGCGATGCTGGTGTGTCCCATTATGTTGGACAATGAAGCCATCACCATCGTAGGAGGAGACGCGGCCGGTGCTTGTTGACTTGATGTTGCCTTGCATTATTGTGCACTTGCAACCAAAACCCTCCCAGAAGGGTTCCTGCCAGAGCTAAAAACTTGAATGACCTTAGTCCACACAGCCAATTATGTAACCATGTTGTAGTCCACATTGACTCCCCGAAAGCCAGGCGAGCAGTTCTGCAGCTACGAGGGCTATGGCCGCTCCCTGCGCTTCGGCGCCGACTACCGTGACCGCTCGCCGCGGGACGCGGACGGCACCGTGCTGCAGGCGATCACGGCGATGGATGCACTGGACTTCCGGGGGCGCGACTCCAGCCTGCGGACGCAGCTGCAGGAGGGGAAGAGATGATGGGGGAAAGAATGGCATGTCGGAAATGGTGAGGATCGGTTGGGTGAGGATCGGAATTGAGTGGAAGATTGAGGTTGAGGATAGTTGAGGATTGGGTATTGATGCCAGGGGGATTACATTATAGATCTTACATGATCTTACAAGTGATCTTACAATAGTTCTCCCGTCCCTTTTTGGGGATGTAGTGAGGGAGAATCACGGCAAATCACTCTTCGTCGAACACCAAAGAGCTAAGATGAGCTAAGTGTGAACCACAGTGACTTATTGAGGTGTAGGAGCCCATTGTTCTTGGTGTTCTTGGTGTTCTTGACTGTGGTAACATTACCACCGTCAAAGACTGCACGGATGTCGCAGTCTCCCACACGAGGAGCCCTTGCTCTTGCGGGAATTGGAGAAGGCAGCAGCTGCCTTTGCGCCAGTGGACGAGGCGGCGCTGGCGCAGTGGCCGATCATCGCTACCGGGAACTGGGGCTGTGGAGCCTTTGAGGGGTGCGCGGAGCTCAAGGCTGGGACACGGTGACCGGCAGCCTAGCGGTCCGAACGGAGACCCCGTGAACCAAGTGGCAATTGGCAATGATGAGAGAGGAAGAAGCCTCCTTGAATGTTGTTCCCCTATCAGATCCTACCAGGAATTATTCTATTTTATATATAGATTTTTTGGATCATGGTCCTTGAATTGAACTTACCCAGGGGATACGGATACAGGTGGAACAGTCTTGCACGGTACAATGCCCGCACATTCTTCGTTGCAAACACTGCTCCCGGTCCTCTCACCCACTTTTACTCACCCAACCATTCCCTCTCAGACTTGAAAATTCATGAAAATTCTTCCCAAAAAACGCAGGCGATCTTACAATGGTTGGCCGCCAGCGAGGGGCGGCGCCGTTTGCTGTACTTTCCCTTCGACTTGGAACACCTGGGCCCTCAACTCACCGAGCTCAGCCGAGACCTTTGCACCGCCCGGGTCACGGTGGGTCAGCTCTATTCGGCGCTGATGAGTGAGCCGCGGCCCAAACGGGCCACGGAGATTTTTGAGCATCTGAAACGGAAGCTCTTGGGATGACCAATCCTGGGGTCTCTCCAAACATCTCCAAACACGAAAGTGATTGCATGTGGTGCTTGATTTCAATAGGATTATGATTGAGATTCCTGGTGGTGGAGGTGTTTGGAAGACGCTCTCACAATACAATGACAGTTTAATATCACGGACTGCTTTCCACAGCAAGCAGGGCGAGCGATGTACAGTGCTTGAAGCCTTGATATTGAAAGAATCTGCTAGCTGCTGCAGCTTCAAGTGTGCCGAATTCCTTGGTGAATCAGTGCATGGAGGGTCCCGTCTTCAGGAGTTGCCAGTCCTTGGTCCACGGCTTTAGAAAAGCCATGGTGACTGAACGGTGAGGCTGGAATGCTGCCAGGTGCGTCAGCGACTTAGATGGTCGATTCTGGATGGATAAGGGGAGCTTCTTCCCTTGTGCTTCAAAAAATATCTCCAAACCTTGAGATTGTTTCAGGAAGGAAACTGGGGGACTCCAAAACACTGCTGGGGCAGCATGTAGCCATAGCAGGGATTTGCAGGTCTAGGTCTGACTCGCGCAAATCTTATGCAGCTTTCTCAGATGCAGCGACTGACATTAGGTCGACGCCCATTGATGGCTTGTTGCACTGTGAGGCGCCCAGATGGTCAGAGCTATGAACAAACGGTGGCAAAGCAACACAAGAGTGGAATGACAGACCTCATGAATCAGACTTATGTCAGGGGAAGTCTCATTCGGAATCTTCCACAGGTACACTCTCGTAGCCAGCAGTTGCCATACCTAGGCCCTAGGTGAAAAGCCCTTGAACACCCTATGATTATGACCAAGATACACCAAGATATTGCAAGAGTGAACCTCACACCTATTCACAGCTCACAAAGCTGGGAAATGCCCAGAACCCAATAATTAATTACTGGTACTTGTCGAAGTGATGCACTTCCCGGTGAATGCCGAGCCTTTTGTGTGCCGGTTTACGACTCCGCAGCAGCGCTTCTGTGGGCCAGATGTGAGAAAAATCTCAGTTTTGGGCTGAGGTGGTGACAGCACTTTTCCGGGGATTGGCGTGCCTGTAGCATCCTCAGCCATCAGCAGAGTGTTGCAATCCATCAAGGTGCCATGCAACGCCTAGCAAGAAGAGCTGACTTGTTCAGGCAGCATTTAAGGGGTGCGAGGAGCCGTGCAGCAAAACAAGGAACACATTTTGGGGGGGTGTTCCTGGTTTAGCCCCTGATCATCCCTTTGAACGTGCAGACTATTAAAGACTTAACAGACTTAAGGCAATCATGTTCGTTGTAGTCGCACCACTCGCGGGCGGCCTTCAGGCTGCGGTAGCCAGCAGCAGCCCCAGGAGATGCCAGTGTTGGAATCTGTTAGACGGTTCCCCTGTGAGACGCTCCCCTTGCATCCCCTTGACAGTGGCTTTCAGTTGTGGAGGGATCCGGCTACAATGAACACATGGGTTGCCCCAAGGTGGTTTCTCAGCGGCCAATGTGCTGCTGTCAGTGGCCAGCTAAGTGTGTCAAGAACGGGCATGAGAAAACTACCAGTCGACCAAACACTGGGCCAAATGCCACCATCAATTGAGGGCATATGAGTATGATTGAATATGTAATAATATGTATATATCTATATATATCGCAGCCGCCCAGCCCACTGTCCAGCACATGTGACAACACTTGATGAGGTCGACGAACACTTGGAGGCCTGGCCCTAAGTCCAGAGGCGAGTGGCCTTTTTTGGACCATTCGAGCTGATTGTAAGGCCTTAGATGCGATGAGAATACCTTAGCGCTTCACCGCTAGCCGCGTGACCGTGGAGAAACGACCGTGGAATTAGCTGACCAGAGTGTGTTTTGACTGACTATCGGCCTGGCACTTCTTATGGACCTAAAAGATCCTAAAAGCATTTAAACACCATGACCTGTAGAACCGTGTAAGCAGCAGCCGCTTACTGTACTTCACAAAAATTGCCGACCTAATTATTGCTGGCGCCTTAGCAGTCTCATCAGTGATGTGCTCTCGGATGCTTTCGCTCTCGTAGCTTGGCTGGAGCCATGAAGGCTTAATGAGCGAAATGGATTTTCGCACCCACCTGGCGAGTGGCCGAGTGTCTTGTCATGCGATGGGTTTTGGCCCATGTGGCTGTGGGAACTGTGAGGTTTCCAGTGAGATGCTGGGACATTCCTCGGACAACAAAACAGGACCTCATGTCTTCCATAGCTTCCTTGAAGAGAGGTGCGCACTATATAACCTGAACAAAAAAACTAGACGATTTGCACATTTCGGGAGTAGAACGTGATCGTTGGAGATGTTTCACTGCTGCGTCGCATGAGCACCTGGCGCGATATGAATCCTGTTGTGCACTGAGGTTGATGAGCATCTAGAGGCAGGCCCAGTCCCGCAAAAGTAGTAGCAGCAAGCAGTAGCACAGGACTCTGGACATTGGCCTCAGCAGTGGTCGTGGGCGGTTGTAATATCAAGTGGTTTCTGAATTTTGGTAGGGCAGTTGGTGTAGGGTTGGCAAAGGAGAAGCAGTGCCCTTGGTTCCTTCGGTCTCCGAACCGTTGGACGACTCGCGCTGTCCCGCCGGTTCAAGCAGGGTGCCTGGGTGTAAAACGCCTGGGTGGCCCACCATGGAGGAGAACTCGGAGAACAAACCCAAGGAGCCGAAGGCGAAGCCGAAGGCTAAGGCCTCTGGCAGGAAGTTGCAGTCAAAGAAGGGGAAGGACAAGGGGGCAAAGGGTGTGTTATGGTGATTTATGGTGTGTTGCCGAGTTCGCCATCGAACAGTATTTGACGAGATGCGGTGCAACGTTGCTTTTTTGGGGCATCAGCACCTTGATGCGTTTGTTACACCACTATCCAGTGGTGCTACTGTACACGTGCCCTGAGGAAGCCCAGCCAGCATTGACCTCGATCATTGGGAATGGCGAACAGCCTGACCGAGAACAGGGGAACCAAGAGATCACAGAGGTGGAGGCCTCCTCTGAGAACCTCAACGAGGACGTGATCAGTTTGATGGTTCTGAGCCGTTTGAAGATGTTGAAATCAATAGGTGCACCTCTGAAAGTGTCAGTGCCAACAAAATACCTGCATAAGATGGCCAACCAGTGATCGAATGTCGCCCATGCTGCCATGCCACACTGAACAGTGAACAACACTAGTCTTGCACCATTGTTCTTGCCCCCAACTTCCGAGGACGCCGACAACGAGGCCCTGCAGCTCAACATCACTGAGGATCAGTCGTTGAGTCCTCCGTCGCACACGATCATGAGGCCCAAGCGGCCGAAGGAGGAGAATCTCAACCGCTTGCGGAAGCTCATCAAAAAGCTTGAAGACCTGGAGCCCAGAACGACTGGACCCTATTTCGAGAATGAAGACGACCCTGAACTTGAACCAGGAAACAATGACGAAGCTGAACTGGAGACCGATGAAGACCAGGAAGATAACGAGGCTTATGAGGACCACGAACGTCAGACAGCTGCAGAGCTTTTTCTCAAGGGAGGAACGGAAAGGTTTAGGAGCTTGTCCAGCCGAGACGAGAAGGAAGTGCGGATGGCGCTTTGCTGCATGTTCTACCTAAGGGCCGAACTCACCCTCAGGAGGACCTCAGAGTTCTTGATTTTCCTACTGGGCGAGGCCCGCCTTCGCTTGGAGGAGGATTTGGAAGAAGGGGAACGTTTGGCAAGCATGCATGGCAAAGTCCAGCAGACAGCCATCGTGCTGGTTGAGAAGCTCCGCGAGAACGACCAGGAGATGCTTTGGTGCACCAAAGCCGGGGTATGCATTCTGGTGCAATTTCAGCTTGGCGACGCCCGACTCTTCTTTGCTCGCCCTTCGTTGCAACAGATCATGCTCGATATGTGGCAGGGTGTTCGTCCAGACTACTTCGAGCGAAACTGGTGCCAGCAGCTGCGAGTTTGGATGAGGCTGCTCCTGTTTGGCTCAGCCAATTTGGTCATGGTCCCTCTTTTTGCAGTGGCACCCGGTGTTGAGAGCTATCTTCAGTGCAAGGTGATCTTGCGTGCAGACCAGACCCGGCAAGAAGAAGAGGACCGTTGGAAGCGCATACTCAAGAAACAAAACAATCAGTGGCCATACAGGTTTGAAAAGAAGGGGAAGGTTTGTTGGGACAAGGAGGACTTCGAGAAAGCTGTCCGGGAGGAATGTCGCGAGCAAGTCTTCCAAGTTCAAAGCCGCATGCCGCTGCTCATTCCGCGCTACAAGAAATACTTAGCCATCCTTACAAACCTAGGCTTCGCTGCTTATTTGATCGCAGAGAGGCCGGAAGGGGCCAACGTCCCAGTGGTGCTGGTCCTTAGTGCCGGCGCTTGGTTGGGCGAGGTCGCCCAGCTGGTGAGCTTTGCAAATGCCAAAGCTGGCGCTCGCAATTCCTTCCTCTTTTGGTTTATGGATCGGGTGAACGTCATGGAGTTGGTCGCCTTCACGTGCATTGCATGGACCACAGTGCTGGTCTTGATTGACAAACAATCAGTGGAGTTCGCACAGCAGTTCAAAGCCTTAGGCGTGCTCTTCTTGGGCATTTCTCAATTCATGGCCATGTTGCGCATGAGTTCCGTCTTCGGCCCACTGGTGTCCATGACGATGAACATGATCGTGGATATGATCCAGTGGGTGGCACTACTCTTTCCAATGATTGCATGTGTTGTGGCTGCCCTGGTGACTCTCTTTAAGACTCGAAGTAAGAAACTTGGAACTGAACAACAGGCCTAGTAGGTTGCTTCTTGCGGTTAAAGGTTTGGACAAGGGCTTTGAGGCTTTTGCATGCTTTTGCATGCTTTTTCAATAATTAAGCATATGACAGATGTCCCAGCGTGGCGTGGCAAAGGTTTCCCATTGTATATAGTGGAAAGTGAGACTAAGAGAACGGAGTAAGGCAAGGTTGATTTCACATTTTGGGGTGCGCTGATAAATTGCGGAGGCCCAATTTGCACAAGTTGAATTGGAGACAGGCAACGCATGAGCAACCGTCAAAACACGGTATGTTTAGCAGAAGATGTGAGCAGCCATCATCACGCTTAATATGCAAAAGCCCAGGGAAGTGATGCCCCCGCAAAGGCGATGCACTACCAGAACATGAAGGATGCACATTGTCCAAGTGCATTTGCTACGAAAGCTAGCGTCAGCTAGCTGGAGTTACTCTTGCTTTAGCAAGTTTATTGCTGTGGGATGGAAGGCCCTACCCTGTGAATCATTCATGCGTAGGCCCTCCCCCCGCGGGTTCAACATGTCTTTGTTCAATGTTTAGCTTCTTGATCTGAAAGGGAATTCAATACATTCTCGTGACCTTTTGCATGCGAGACTGTGCGGCAGTCATCTCATGTGGGGCCAAACCGCGAGTATTTGAAGCAATACTTATATAAGTTATATAAGTGATACCCCAACCAATGCCCTCGAGCATGCCAGTCGACCAGTTGCATATGGCCTCCAACCTAATAGCGATGGCCTCCAAACGTGGGGTAGTTTGCACCCAACAACGATGTTGCAACAGCTTGGTACTCTCGTGAAGTTTGCTTGTCTCCTTTGGGTCGCCTTTCAGTGCTGGTGCTTATAGCGCACACACACACAGATGCCCTTGGACAAAGCTACCTACACCATCCTACACCAGTCAACTTGGAACTTTCTTTTCAGAGGCTCGTTGAAACATGCTGCCCTGCAGGGAGTTTCACAGGTTTGTTTGCACGAGGCGGAGTGACTGAGTGACTCAGATAGGTTAACTTGCGCTGAGTCTGCAGAGTTTACCTGCATAAGTTCACTTGCGCTATGCAACTTGCTTTGTGAAATGGCTGGCTCGTGATGAACTAGACTTCTCTTTCTGGCGGGGGGCTTTCTATATGCACTTATAGTTGTAGAGAGAGAGGGAGAGAGAGAGAGAGAGCCACAGAGAGGTCCTTTGCGAGAGAAGCAATCCCTTCCACCATTTTCCACCTATCCCAAAAATAGAACACGGCCGCCGCCCCCCCCAAAAAAAGAACAAGATGGAGCCCACGAACCCGAATGCAAACACGTTCGAAAAGCTACATATATACTCAGCTGAAATGACAAAGGACTTGTGAAAAGTGCCTCCAAATTTCTGCGGCTAAGTCATGAAGGTTTAGCCTACCCCCCACAAGTATGTATGTCATGAAGCAAACGCTTTGAAAAACAACGAGAGATGCCAGAGGTTGTCACCATAGATCCTAAAAAACAGTTGATTTTACATTGACAAGCATCATGACATACGACTTTGGTATCTAAACAATGGATAAAACATCGAGAGATAGAAATTTGACATGTGGATTTTCATTAGCTCTAATCTTCCAGGAGCATGCACAAACCAAAAAAGACTGAGGACCAGGTCAACAAGGCCTATGTCATGAGTGTGTGCCAATAAAATTGCAGAGTTTACATCTGTACATGACTTGGGACTTGCCCTGGGAAAGTTGTATGTCACTTCGACCCAATTGGCCTAAGTCATCATAAGTCATCTCACCTCAGTATAATATGTCCAAATGACGCTTTTGTAGGACACTCTTGTGGGACACTCTTCTGGGGGACACTCTTGTGGGACACTCTTGTAGGAAACTCTTGTGGGACACTCTTGTAGGACACTCTTGTGGGACACTCTTGTGAGACACTCTTGTCGGACACTCTTGTAGGACACTCTTGTGGGACACTCTTGTAGGACACTCTTGTGGGACACTCTTGTAGGACACTCTTGTGAGTCACTCTTGTAGGAAGCTCTTGCGGGGCACTGTTTTGGGACACTCTTGTCGGACACTCTTGTGG